GCATCCTTTATCATATTATCTAGCACTCTAGACTCATTTAAACCAATTCAAAGCAGATCATGTGGATTATCCGCTTTGATAATCTGGATTAAATGTCAGCGTAGAAGGTTCCTGGGCTGTATCTCTGTATGTGGCTGGGACTACAACTCCCAGCATCCTTTATCATTCCCCCACAAACCCAGTATTTTTTTGTATCTTTGCATTTCCTATTTGCTGCCTAAGTAGAGTCTCTTGCATTTGTCCCTGTTGAACTTCATCGTGTTAGTTTTGGCCCATCATCTTTCTCATCTGTTCAGATCGTTTTGAATTCTGCTCCTGTCTTCTGGAGTCTTGGCTCTCCCTCCCCATTTGGTCCCGTCTGCAAACTTGGTGATAGTCCAGACTGAAATGATTTTCTATTGACATGTTCGTCCTATGACCCCAAAACTTCCAAGTGATGCCATATTTTGCTCCTTCTTTGCAGGAAAGGAATTTGGGCTGCAAATGTTGATGTCAAAGCTGAAGAATGAGAAAATCCAAGACATCGATGGCTCCTACCGAGTCCCACTGGTCGGGAATGTCCATTATTCCGTGTCAGAGTAAGAGACAGTGTGACTCTCCTTTGGATCTATGCAGTGGAATGAATCCAAATTAATGCCACTTTAACCTCCCTGCCTCAGTGCTATGGAATTCTGGGAGTTGTAGTTTTGCAAGGTCTTTAGCCTTCTCTGCCAAAGAAGACCGTCGCTTCGGCGAACTACAACTCCCAGAATAACAACACCTTTGCCTTCTAATGGTTCAGTGTCCACTACATGTATTCCATTCACAAAATTGTATCAAATGACATCCAGGCAATGTATATAAGTTGTGTATGAGACATCAATGAATGTTGTGCTTAGACTTAGGTCCCAGCATTGAGATTTCTCATTGTTATTGTTATTATTTTGTGTTTATTTATGCCCAGCTTTCTTTCTCCAATGAGCCCCCAGTAGCGCAGTGGGTTAAACCGCTGAGCTGCTGAACTTGCTGACCGAAACGTCCCAGGTTCAAATCTGGGCAGCGGGGGGAGCTCCCACTGTTAGGCCCAGCTTCTGCCAACCTAGCAGTTCGAAAACATGCAAAATGTGAGTAGATCAATAGGTACCACTCCGTCTGGCAGGAAGGTAATGGCACTCCATGCAGTCATGCTGGCCACATGACCTTGGAGATGTCTACGGACAACACCGGCTCTTTGGCTTAGAAATGGAGATGAGCACCCCACCCCCCCACCCCCAGAGTCGGACGTGACTGGACTTAATGTCAGGGGAAAAACTTCTCTCTCCATAAAGGAGACTCAAAATAAACTTTGTGTTGCCCTCCAGGACAGGAAAAGCCCTCTGACTGTAAACACCACACCATTGATTGGAAAACAATCCCAGCAAGTAAAAAGCACTTTAAAGAAATAGGTAAATCCAATTAGGTAAGAAGATAAGCAGGAGCAAAAAATAGTCCAGGGTAAAGTTCAGCAAAGTCCATAAAAACAAAGTCCTAAATATAATTCAGGAAAACAGGAAACATTAATCCAAGGCATTTGTACAATCCAAGAATCCAAACCATGAAACAAGAAATACTTAGACGAGAATCTTCCAAACAAGGCTTCCATAAAACAAGGACGAGAACTACACTTGATTCCAACAATTCTTCATCTGACTATATTTTCCATACTTGAAACTTTTATCCCCTCGTTAAGCTATTCCATGCACTCAGGAATTGGTTTTGCTTTACTTGAGATCCCCTTATCTTTTTCTGTCGGAGCCTGGCAGAACGTCGAAGGCACTGTTCGGCCTGTCTGTTTTGACTAATTTCCTCTCACTTATTTGCTCATTAAGTTTTGCAGCTGGGCCAGGTGCCCAGTTGTTTTCAAGCCCCAAATCCTGGGAACTCTCTGGTAACAATTCAGGGAGTACACCATCATTCCCACACCCTTCAGGGACTTTCTCATGGGAAACTACACTTTGCACAGGGATCTCCTTGTCATTCTTTGCATCAATATCATTGACCAAACCATTGCTATCTTGAAATTCATTGGCATCACTGTGCAAGTACAGCTGTACCAGGAGCTCCAATTTTGTTTGCTTTGCATTGAATGTTTGTTGTAGTCCTGAGTTTCAGGGGCTCTGCAGATAGGTGGCTTCTTTTGGCTGCAATCATAGGGCAAGCCACCTGTCAATTATCGTTAGGTTCCCTGGTCCCGCCCCCCTTTTGGGTTTTGGAGGGAATAGGAGCCATTTTGGGTCCAGTCCACACAGAGAAGCCTTTCATGCAGGACATAAAACTAAGATCTCCTGTAGAAAGCTTTGTCTTCTACAGCTTGGCCAGGGAGAAAAGGCCCCACAGCTTTGCCGGGGATATACAGCTCCACGGCTTGGCCCGGAGATATACAGCCTTACAGCTTGGCCGGGGAGAAAGTTCCCATAGCTTGGCCAAGGATTATACAGCCTTACAGCTCCTTTGCTGAGAGACCTCAGCCAGCCATCACCGAAACCTGAACTCCTTTTCCCCTGGAAGTCTACAAAGCTCTACTTGGTAAGGGTCACTCGCGGAAGCCAGAAGCAGTTGGTACCGGGTGCAGGGGCTCCACGCCAACAGAGGCAAAGACAGACTGCCCAGATTAGAAGTTAAGGATTTCCCCATTAGTTATACAGTTATGAAGATAGTGCCTGTTCCCTGTGGACAAGATTGAGAGAGCCAATAGACTGTTAAGAAAGCCTTAAAGTACCTGTTTGTTTTCATAATAAAGAACTTTGTTGAACCTTTAAGCAATCTAAAGACTCTGTTTTAAGGAAATCCAAAGGCCTTTAATCTGAGGCAGCCCCAGCGTCCCGTTGGGCACACAGAATTTATGTCCTGTCTACAGTCTTATGCACAGGCCCAGCGTGCAACAGCACAATCACTTTCCACATCCCAAGCACCCTGATCCTGAAACATAATCACAGGCTGAACTCCAAAACATTCCAATGGCATGTCATGTGATATCTATGCAAATCTATCCAAATCTGGAAAAAAAAATCCAAAATACTTCTAGTCCCAGCCATTTCAGATGAGAGATGCTAAAACGGTGCATATAGAAAACATAATGAAGTCAAACTATAGCTTGCATTCCCTTCATAAGCCACAGGGCTGCACTGAAGATCTGAATAAAGCATCACTACAGATCAAGCACGGCTTTGATCTAATTCCAAATCATGGCAAAAGTTCTAGCAACACATCCTGACATTGCACCTGGGGGTGTTGTGTCTGTGGCACTGCACTAAGGCAATTCACACGAAATGCACAGATATAGGAGCTGAATTAATTAAGAGACATTTGACTATGCTTCCAATTTTCTTTTAGGATC